TTTTTGAGGCGGAGTTACTCTCTTGTTGCCCAGGCTGGAGTGCAATGGCACGATCTCTGGCTCACCACAACCTCTGCCTCCTGGGTTCAAGCAATTCTTCTGCCTCAGCCTCCCAAGTAGCTGGGATTACAGGCATGGGCCACCACACCTGGCTAATTTTTTTTTTTTTTTTTAGTAGAGACAGGGTTTCTCCATGTTGGTCAGGGTGGTCTCAAACACCCAACATCAGGTGATCCACCTACCTCAGCCTCCCAAAGTACCGGGATTACAGGTGTGAGCCACCGCACCCAGCCGACTTTGGCCTTTTATAAGGATTAGTCTATTTCCTACTTACCTCAACTCCTGGGGCATAGCCCTTCTGAGGTCCCAACAGAAAGCCTGGGGTGTTTATTGGGGCCCCTTATCCTTGATGACCCTCAAACTCAAACCCTGCTAGCCTGCCAGATTCTCAGGCTCTTATCTGCCAATGACGTACGAATGGGCAAATGCCCCAGATGGAAGAGTGGCAGCCAGTGTCAAGTTCACTCTCTGCTCTTCTTCTCCCCAAGATCTTGATCCCTCAAGTCCTCACTGCCTTGATGCCTTCAAAGAGATATTTTAAACATTTCATTCAACTTTTCTAATTGTTCCCAATAGAGAGGATGGTAACAAGCTAGTCTGCTGTATTTAGATACAGAAATTCTTGAGAGATTTTAAAAGAAGGCTGAATAGAGAGACCTTCTCAGCGGTGGCTTGGATCAAGGCTAATGTGAAATCAAATGTGTGGGGTATGAGTTGGAAGACCTCAGTTGGAGTCTAGGCTTTACGATAAGCTGTGAGATGTTGGGAAACCCTCCCTTCTGGAGCTTAGAGGTAAGTTTCTTGTGTGTGGAACACAAAGGTAGGCTATAGTGTGCACTTTTAGCCTCGTCCTTGGCTCTGTTTGGGCACCTTCTTTGTTCTTTCATCATTTGCATCATTTTAATGTGCTCTTCTGCAATACCATATTTCATTGTTAGTCTTAAATTCTTTCTGGAATGAGGCAGCATATTAATTGATCTAACATTCACTAAAATAAATGTTAACTCTCTGAACCTATTTTCTCATCAGTAAAATTGGAATAATGATCCCTTATTGTAGTTTACAAGATTGAGGCTCAGATCATACAAGATAATGTATGCAAAAGTGCTTTGTAAAGCAATGTGCCAGCATAATTAACTTATTTGCATCTGGGAGTCATGTTGAATATCTTTTCTTCTCTGCCCTCCACCTGATATTCTGTCCATTAGCACGTCATAGCCATTTAACCTACATCTCCATCAAATCTGTCCATGTCTATCTTTTTTTTTTTTTTTTT